AACAATAGGTTTATATATTTTTCATTATTTTAAACAACATATCTACAAGACACACAGAGGCAAACAATTAAATTGAAATATATAATACAAAAGAGATTAAATAAAAACTAAAACAATTGGGCAGTAGCAACATTATCCTCAAAAGCATACATAGTCCCAGCAGTTTAAGAAGCACTTTACTTTCAGCCACATCGAAGGTTTCATTTTTCCTTTTCAGAATATACGTTATCTTCTCCATAGAACAGCAATTACTCATTTCCCTCAGCCATTGGCCAATCTCTTTTTAGGGCAATTTGAAGTAAAGGATCTGAGTACTTATTGTCTGTCTCTACAACAGGACAAGACGCTCTGAACGAATACCTGAGGACGAAGGCAGTGACCATCGAGTACTAAGAGGTGGAGGAAGCGGTGAAAAGTGGAGGATGGAGTGATTTGCTCTCACTATAATTGACTGCCTCTCGTTAGTGAATACTAATCCTGTGCCTTAACACGATCAGTCAAATGAATGTTGAGTCCTGATCCATGCTGTAGTAAGTACTGTCATATAAATACACCCAAGTGACCTCAGACTGTTTGTAATCAATGTGATTTAGTAAGAAAGGGATGATGTGAAGCAAGGAGGTCGAAACATCAGGATCCTGATCAACATGTCAGGGTTTTTCTTCATTAACGACCGCTTCGCTGCACATTATCCAGCTTATTACACGGCGACGTACAAAATAAACCAACGACTTGTTTCAGGAATATTGATTAAAAATAATTTAAAAATAATTTAGTGTTTACTTCCTGTCTGTTCTTCTGCTGTTCGTGTTAGTGTTCACTTCCTGTATGTCTTCTTCTGCTGTTCCCGTTAGTGTTTACTTCCTGTATGTCTTCTTCTGCTGTTCCCTTTAGTGTTTACTTCCTGTCTGTCTTCTTCTGTTGTTCCCTTTAGTGTTTACTTCCTGTCTGTCTTCTTCTGTTGTTCCCTTTAGTGTTTACTTCCTGTCTGTCTTCTTCTGCTGTTCCCTTTAATGTTTACTTCCTGTCTGTCTTCTTCTGCTTTTCATGTTAGTATTTACTTCCTGTCTGTCTTCTGCTGATTTCTCTGACGTCCAGCACTTTGTTTTAACCTCTTTCCTTCTCTTGTTCACTTTTCTTTTCTGTGGACAGTTTAGCCGTCATGAATTCAAAGTTTCCGGCTCTCCACAAATATAAAAATCTATTTTCAAAAACTATTCATGGTGTTTTCTCATGGATAAACTAAAGCTTGTTGTCCACAGCTGACGTTCAATTGACCGGACTTCTCTATGGGATTGATATCACTGCACATAGTCACTTGATTCCCCTTAGCAACGGTATGTTCTCCTTAGCAACAGTCTCCTAGCAAAAAATAACAGACTTCTGGAATGTACAAATCAACCAATCAGAATCGAGTATTTGACTAAGCCTTGTAAGTAGTCTAACGGATGATTGTTTTGTCCTGATCCATGCTGTTGTGATCTACACCCAAGTGACCTCAGACTGTTATTAATCCATGTGATTGAGTTACGAAATGGAAATATTTGTAACAGACTGCCTGAGTTTCTGATATGGCTTACATTAGGTCAGAGAAGTATTAAGAAATATAACATTTCTAACAACGGGTTCTGAATAAAAACTGCTGTGAATCTCACCACTGTGTCCATTTGTATTATTAGTTCATGTATGATGAAGTTTGACTTGAAATCATTTAATGGAAATTATATTTTCAATTCACACAGATTTTTACGTCGATGTTATATCAGAAAATAACTAAATTACGACCCTTTAGAGTATTGCACTTGGGTTTAATCTGTTTTCTGCCATTATTCCTGTATGAAGCTGCAGTGATGTTGACATGAATCAGATCAACAGCTGATATCCACATTTTGACTGCACTCATATATTTGTTAAGTATAAAAACACATATTCTATATGATATAATGCAGTACTTTACTACATATCAGTATTTAAACGTGGCCCCATATTTACAAACTACAATATTAAAATGCTCTTACATGTATTTTAATTATAAATTCAGTTGACTGTGTAATGCTACTTGAATAACATTTTGAATTCAGGACTTTTACTTTGTAGGGGTACTTAAAGTAATCTGAGTACTTTCTCAATATCTGAGTACTTATTGTAAGGGGGCGTGTCATCTCTGTGGTGAAAGTTATTAATGTTCATATGTTAACCCATTATCAATATATAATGACCAGAGTTTGACTCCAGTGCTGCCAACACCTACTACACATCATCTTCATCCAAGATATTCTCAGGAGTTTTCAGATGGAGCGTGCGAGGGCTTTTGTTTTGAAATAACTTCCGGGTATTCTGCCCCGCCCCCCAGCTCCAATGTTCATCATTTGACCATTTAGTAAGATGAAAAGCACACGTAAAAAAGCATTGCAGTCAAGTCACTGTTCTGTTATCTGGTTCACGAAACAAAAGCAATTGTTACTAAGGTGCACGGAATAAATGACCGGTTATGTTCACCAGGAACCTACTTTTATTTTGAAATCTGTTTCTGCACGCTCCTGCCGTAAATCATAGTAGGCTATACGAGCCTACGTTGGATTACTGTAAACAACGAAGGGGCTGTTTGCCAAATAGCAGGCTGGTTTTATTGCATTTGGAAGCAACAGTAATATGTTGTAGTATATTTTGGTGTTGAGTACGTTTATTTATTTTGAATGACATAATTATACGAACATGTGCAGGGAGGAGGGTGCACTGCATGCACACCGTTTTTATTTTTTATATAATTAGGCATCTTTCTATCTAATAAAGGATGTAAAAACAAAAAATAAAAGTGGTGTTTTTATTTGACATTCTGGGGTTGTAGAAAATACATTTAAATAATTATTACTACACAGAGAAGCGTCACGGTGCTCGCGCATCTTACGCACGGACCCGCAGCTGAATACATCCTCAGGTCGACATCTTTTATACAAAATAAGGGGGCTTGTTTTTTTTTTTAAATAGCCCACTCAATATGATCACACCACCGTGTTTCAGCCCACTGCCTCTTTTTATTGGTGCCTTTTAAAAGCTGGGATGGGCACCATTCTGCAGGAGCGCGCGCCACAACAACACGCGGAGAGGGTTTCCATCATCAGGGACAGGAAGAACAACAACACGCCTAATGTGGCCAGGTATCTCACATATTATTCAATATGATACAAATGTTCAGACCGATGCCCTGACGCCTCCATGGATCCGGGTATCCGCGGTTTGATCTGCAAATGCATGTATCCCCCTTAATAACACGAAATACACGCAAACGACAGGATATATAATGGTGTAGCTAGATTTGAATTGTGTGTTTTCTATGCATCGGCTGTGTTTGTTCATATGTCCTCGGTTTCTCTTCTTCCAAAGCAGCAGAATGGGCAGACGGCAGGCACAAAGGAAGCCGGTGCAGCCGCAGTACATGCTACCAAGTCAAGAAAATATGAATGAGAAGGTGAGAGGCACAGTAGTGAAGCACAACCGGAGGTATGAGAGGAATAATCCATCCTGTAAACCACTTGGAAACCATCTTGATGACTACATATCATTTTTTAAGCAGCAATGTTACATATTTTCTGATTAGACATATTTTTTTGCTTTAAATTAATAGAATTTTGATCTTTTTGTCAGAAAAAAAGCAACTTGAAGACATCTCCTAGACCTAGAGCTCCTAGAAATTGCAATGTGAATCAAAATGTTCTGGATTGTCCGACGAAGCAACAGTGACAAAGTTTCACCATTACTGTGAAGTGACTGTGAGGATGTGTTTAAAGAATGAAGGTGTATTAGTAGATGTGTGTGAGGCATGAAAGGCGCCTTATAAAAAAAGTATTATTATTAATAATACCATCTCTCTGTTCATAGAGGCTTCAGCCGAGAAGGAAGCAGAAGCCAAACCCCCCCTCCACCAAACGAGCTACCTCTCATCACAGGTGAGACTGATGTTTGTGAAAAGTTCAGAGAGCAGGATTACAGTGTTAGTAAAAACCTAAACATATCATCTAGTGTTTGTTGTAAAGGATCAGATGTTCTCTCTTCTCTGTGAGCTGTTCTGTTCTGTAGGATAATACTTTAAGTGTGAATACTTCTACTGCCTGAATCTGCTTCATGGTTTTCACTTTCTTTGCTTCATTTGCTCTGTTTCTAATTCAGCAGGTGAACCTGTATGTTCATAACATAGTGTGTGTGAGATTAACTGTGTGTGTTCAACTGAAACGGAGCATTTTCTGTCAGCTCAGATTTTCTTTCTGCTTTTTTAAACTGTAGTATCAAATCAAATCAAGTTTTATTTATATAGCACATTTATAAACGATTTTTGGTCGAGCCAAAGTGCTGTATATATAATAAAAATAGCCTACAGTAGAGACACTTTACAGCAAATACAACAGCACAGATTGTTCAGAATATCAGTATGAGTAAAACGACACCCTCTGTCCTTAGACCCTCTGTCCTTAGACCCTCACATCGTACAAGGAAACACTTCCAGAGAAAACCCACAGTTTTAAGGGAACATGGGAGAAACCTCAGGGAGAGCAACAGAGGAGGGATCCCTCTCCCAGGACGGACAGACGTGCAATAGATGCCGTGTGCAAATCCAAGAGATAATACGTTTTACAGCATATAGACCAAATGTGTCTATTATGTGCTCATGAGTTTCACTGTTGGTGTGTGGGCTGCAGCCTGGATTTGCTTTGTAGGAGCAAAACGCTCATTTGGCCATTGTTGATTGTTTTATCATAATGTTTTACACCACCATTGTCACGTGGATCTGGTTTAAGGTATTTAGTCTACCTGTTGGGTTTGTGTGGAAAGAGAAGGAGGGTGATTTGGTTCCAATACCGTTTGTTGACTGTATGGTTCTTTGGTTATTGTCTGTTTTCTTTTCTTTATTACACTTTATTAAACTTTATTAAACTTTATTAAACTTTATTAAACGTAACCTCAGTACGGACTGCTTATTGGGAACGAGTCACAATGATGAAACAAGTTTACCCATCTTTTATTGGAGGTGTTCTCACTACATGCTTGATGAAAGGCAGGTTTCCCTATAGATAAAATGACTTCTGATCCTAAATATCTTGGTGTGTTCTTTTCTAAGGTCACATTGTTCTGTTGTCTTACCAAGTCAAAACATCTTATTGATATTTCTTGTCTCTCTGTTTTGATTTGCATTGCATTTAACATTGAGGTAATCCAAAAGATACTCAGATTAGGTTACTGATTACATTTTCTTAACTTTTGTAACGGAATATATTTGCTAACATCATGTTAACTTCTCCCTCCAGAACTCAGGGATCCTCGGAGTCAAAGAGCAATCCTCCGTCTCCTACAGAGGACAGATCTTCTCAGCATAAAGAACACAGCGGTGTAAGAACCAGCCGACACTCAGCAGCTTTTCCCTGCCACAATCTGTCAGAAACCAGCCCTGATCTCCTGGAAACACCTTCAGAGGTACTGTTGGAGCTTTATATCGCCTTGTATTATTTAATAGTTAAACATTTCTTGCTGTTAATGTTTCTAGTAAATGTATTCTTAGTTATTGAAGTTCTTTAAAGGTCCCCTATTATACTGTGTTTCATCAATATATTATAGGTTTCAGATATATACAGAACCTGTCTCTGATTGGCTGAAACACCAAACAGATCATTGCAGCACTACCCATAATCCCCTCTGTTTCAGCCCTGTTTCCAAAGTGCTGATTCTCTGTCTGTTACTTTAGATGAAAATAAGGAGCCCCTCCCCACGCCCCTCTGAGAGAGATTTGGTTACAAAGAACACAATGGTGCTCTAGGAGGAGATTCAGGTGATAAGGGGGGGGGGGTTACCTTGGTTGCTGATTGGCTAATGGATACACAAACCATCGTTATGACATCATAAAGTGGCCAAAATCTGATCAGCTCATTTTCAGACAGGTTTTTATAGAAATGGATCAAAAAGAGAGAGAATCTTTGTTCCTGAAACTTTCAGAGTCTCTTTCCACAGAGGGGACACATGTTGATGTAGAAGAGACATAAAGAAGAGGGGACACATGTTGATGTAGAAGAGACATGAAGAAGAGGGGACACATGTTGATGTAGAAGAGACGTGAAGAAGAGGGGACACATGTTGATGTAGAAGAGACATGAAGAAGAGGGGACACATGTTGATGTAGAAGAGACATGAGGAAGAGGGGACACATGTTGATGTAGAAGAGACATGAAGAAGAGGGGACACATGTTGATGTAGAAGAGACATGAAGAAGAGGGGACACATGTTGATGTAGAAGAGACATGAAGAAGAGGGGACACATGGTGATGTAGAAGAGACATGAAGAAGAGGGGACACATGTTGATGTAGAAGAGACGTGAAGAAGAGGGGACACGTGTTGATGTAGAAGAGACATGAAGAAGAGGGGACACATGTTGATGTAGAAGAGACATGAAGAAGAGGGGACACATGTTGATGTAGAAGAGACATGAGGAAGAGGGGACACATGTTGATGTAGAAGAGACATGAAGAAGAGGGGACACATGTTGATGTAGAAGAGACATGAAGAAGAGGGGACACATGTTGATGTAGAAGAGACGTGAAGAAGAGGGGACACATGGTGATGTAGAAGAGACATGAGGAAGAGGGGACACATGTTGATGTAGAAGAGACATGAAGAAGTGGATTTTGCATAATAGGGGACATTTAAGTTAATTATCTGTTTTACTTCTATATCATTTTGTCCGCTACAGGTCGGAGTTCTGAGCGTCGATGGTGACAACGACAGCGACCTGTCAGAATCAGAGAGACTTCCTGTGGGCTCTTTTAGCCGTGTTCCCCCTGAACTCCATCTGAGACCAGAAGTCATCGAGGCTGAAGACCTTTCCTCTCGCTGCCAACGACCCAGAGGACACGGACTCGGTGCTTTTGACTTCCCGGACTTCCTGCCTCCACCTTTTAACTCGTGGAGTCTGAGTCATCTGGCTGTTTTCTACAACACAGAGGGTCGGGGGGCTCCAAGACCCAGAGCTGTGGGCCCTTTGGAAAGATACTTAGAGAGGCTTCTTCAACTGGAGTGGAGGCAAATCCAGTCCGTGGAGGAGGACGGTGGGAATTCGGGAGATTTTTCCTCCAGCTGCCATAAATCTGCTGCGTCCTCCTCCTCTCGCCTCAGCTCTCCGAAGTGTATCCTTCAGTGTCAGCGCTCCTTCCCTCTCACCTTCCTCTCCTCTTTGGCCAATCACTCTGCACTACTTTCTGGATGCGCTTGCACTATCTGCCGGATACGATACTCCGCTTGTAGCACTTCCTGCTGTCGATCAACGTCCAGGATTCCCAGAAGGAGCTACAGCGAGAGTCGGATCCTTTCCTCGGACAGGGTCTCCAGAAATCAGAGGTTCAGCAGCCCTCTGAGGAACAGCCACATGAAGAGGATGCAAGCCTCAGGGAATCTACGTAACCCGGTGCAAGGTGCTGATGAGTGTCCGTCTACTTCTGAAGAAAACAGGGTTACAGAGGTGTTGGACTACAGGACTACAGGAGGAGGGCTTGGGAGGAGGAGGAGTGGTTCAGAACAAAGAAGAGGAGTAGGAGAAGAAAGACTAGAGAAAAGAGAAAGTGGATCAGAGCAAAGACTAGGAGGAAAAGAAAGACTAGAAGAAAGACAAAGTGGTTCTGAGGTTAGACTAGGACCAGAAGAAAGACTAGAGAAAAGAGAAAGTGGTTCCGAGTTTAGAGGAGGAGAAGAACAACTAGAGAGTAAAAGGAGTGGTTCTGAGTGTAGACGAGGAGGAGAAAAAAGACTAGAGAAAAGTTGGAGTGGATCAGAGCAAAGACGAGGAGGAGAAGAAAGACTAGAGAAAAGACGAAGTGGTTCTGAGGTTAGACGAGGAGGAGAAGAAAGACTAGAAGAAAGACTAGAGAAAAGACTAGAAGAAAGACTAGAGAAAATACGAAGTGGTTCTGAGGTTAGACGAGGAGGAGAAGAAAGACTAGAGAAAAGACGAAGTGGTTCTGAGGTTAGACGAGGAGGAGAAGAAAGACTAGAAGAAAGACTAGAAGAAAGACTAGAGAAAAGTAGAAGTGGTTCTGAGGTTAGACGAGGAGGAGAAGAAAGACTAGAAGAAAGACTAGAGAAAAGACGAAGTGGTTCTGAGGTTAGACGAGGAGGAGAAGAAAGACTAGAGAAAAGACGAAGTGGTTCTGAGGTTAGACGAGGAGGAGAAGAAAGACTAGAGAAAAGACGAAGTGGTTCTGAGGTTAGACGAGGAGGAGAAGAAAGACTAGAGAAAAGAGAAAGTGGTTCTGAGGTTAGACGAGGAGGAGAAGAAAGACTAGAAGAAAGACAAAGTGGTTCTGAGGTTAGACGAGGAGGAGAAGAAAGACTAGAGAAAAGACGAAGTGGTTCTGAGGTTAGACGAGGAGGAGAAGAAAGACTAGAGAAAAGACGAAGTGGTTCTGAGGTTAGACGAGGAGGAGAAGAAAGACTAGAAGAAAGACTAGAGAAAAGACTAGAAGAAAGACTAGAGAAAAGACGAAGTGGTTCTGAGGTTAGACGAGGAGGAGCTGAGCTGAAGGATCGGGAAATAAAACCAGACGCTGTCGCTGCAATAATGGACAATTTACCTGGTTTTAAAAAGTCTCCAGGAGGCAGACACAAGCAGGTGGACTTTGTTATATGACAGCAGGTTGTAAGTGTAATCCGTATGCAATATTTGGAAACTTCACGTCAAATATTTCATTAAGAATGTATGTTTTCAACGACAGGAAGTGTAGCGAGATTGTAGTGTTTCATTACTGGATGTCATCCTCTGCCAGATTAGTCTCTTAGAATATTATGTTTAATCCAATGCTGTTATTGCAGGTATATAAAGTCATGCAACAGTTTACGTGTTTACATGCTCTACAGATCCATTTACTTTTACATTTGAATCAAGCACAATACACTATATATTAATCTGTGTTCAGGAATTTTGATTCTGTTTTGGTTTGTCAACAACCTGCTGAAAAATAAAGCTTTACCAAACTATTATAACTGGCAGATGTTATTTTTTAGAAGTCAAAATAGTAGGCTTAGTTCAATAAAACACAAATGGCACCGTCTGTCCTGTTGAAGGCCTAGGCATCACAAAGGTCCTCTCTGTTTAGCTGATACAGGACACATCTTTTAAAAAGGTCTTGTTTTCTTGTTTTCTAAGGTTTCATTGTTTGGTCGTCTTACATAATGCACCGACAGGGGCCCTATTATTCTCAGGTTCATACTGGAACATGTCTCCATGCTTTAATGTTCAAAAAGCTCTTTATTTCTCTCATTAGCCGCGTTCACACCAAGTACTTTGCCGTACTTAGTGCCCAGCACTTAGTTCCCAGCCCTTAGTACCCAGCCAGCACTTAGTAGTACCCCCATGGAATAAATTCCTGGGCAGTGGCGGCTGGTGGAAAATATTTTTAGTGGGGCTATGGAAATAGGGACCAAACCATACCAGGGCGGTCCGGGGGGATCCTCCCCCGGAATACATTTTTGAGAAATGACCCCTTAAATTATGACTTCTGGTGATGTTAGAGGGGGGGTGGGGAGGACAAATTGAGGCTTAGAAATATGAGATAATCCATAATCTTCAGTGTGGTTAGCTGTGAATCTTCCAAAACTGTGCAACAGTACAGTAGGCCCACACAAACTGCAGATCACTGGTGCTTTGGGAACACTCAAATGATTTAATTCCCATTTAAAATCAGGAGACTAAATACGAACATTGTGTGTGTGTGTGTGTGTGTGTGTGTGTGTGTGTGTGTGTGTGTGTGTGTGTGTGTGTGTGTGTGTGTGTGTGTGTGTGTGTGTGTGTGTGTGTGTGTGTGTGTGTGTGTGTGTGTGTGTGTGTGTGTGTGTGTGTGTGTGTGTGTGTGTGTGTGTGTGTGTGTGTGTGAGATACTTGCCAACCCTCCCGATTTTCGCGGGAGACTCCCGATTTCATTGCCCTCTCCCGGGGTCATATTTCTCCCGATTTCTGACAAAATCAGATTTACTCACAACTGTTTCCACTCGGACTTTAATACAGCTACACCATTGTTTGGTTTCCATGGTAGCACGTCTCTTTAGCAGCGCGCACAACTCAAAGTTTGAGAGGGTGAGGAAGAAAACTGAACAAGAATTGACAACTCCACCCTCTGCTCAATCCTTTCCTGTAAAATATAGGTCCAGCCCACACATATGCTCCATGGTGCTACAGGCATTGCCCTTACAACTACAATAAGCATGGAAATGTTAATCTACAGCTCCGGCGATCCACTAGCACCGGAGTCTCCACCTGCAGACGCAGCCATCCTCGACAACTACTGTAGCGTCACCTTGGATACGAGTCCAAACAACTCACAGACACACAGGCCAGGGCGCTGACAGGGCACCCTTTGAGCATCAGATCTGACGACGCTGATTGGCTGAAATTATGTTTTGGTGGCATAGTATACAGATAGCAACAGTCAGCTTGTTGGCTGCTGCTGCTCTGGCTGAGGGCTCCTTTCTACCGCCCGGACGAGAGAGGGTAATGATACACGCTGCGGCCAGGCAGGAAACATGTGACTTATCAGTAACTTTAGACATCGTAAAACAATTTTAAACGAGATTTTATTGTAGATTATACATTTTACTGATACCAACTATATACTATTTACCTTGTTCATTAAAAAAAAAAAATATATATATATATATTTTTTTAAATATATATTTTTATTTATTTTTAATTTTTAATGACAATCAAACATGTGGGAAGAGGGGGGCAGCGCCCCTAGCGCCCCTATGGGCCATCCGCCACTGGAGGAGTGTTATATAAACAAATAAAGTTGTTTAGTGACGTCCCTATTTCAAGTAAGAGAAGAATGGACCGATCGCTGTTACTGATGTCGGTCCTCTGGTGTTTTCAGATAGGGTCTACATTGGAATTTTACAAACGATGGATACAGGACCTTCAAATGTAAAGGACAATAATCCAGACTGAGTAATGTTATGCTAACTAAATGCTAACAAAATGATGATTTATCATGCATAATTGTTCTACCGGTGTATTTATGTATACTGCGGTGATTCATGTTTTGAATCTTATTCCCTGTCTAGTATTTTTACTGTAGTTCAGCAGTAAACGGTTAGCAGTTGACTGACAACTTATTCAGGGTGCTAATGTTGGCTATCTCTCCCTCCGTTTCCAAGCTTAAATGAAATGCAATCCCATGGGTTGTTTTGTTCGTTGCTCAAAGAAGTGGATGTTACAGCCATGACATCAACAGCGTCTTCAGACCATGTTTAACATTTTAAATTGAAAAGGCTACGCTACTCGCTAGCAGTGGTGTCAAGTAACTAAGTAGATTTACTCAAGTACTGCACTTCAGTACAACTTTGAGATACTTACTTAACTTGATGACTCCATGTTATGCTACTGTGTTCTTCTTCTCCTCTACAGTTCAGAGGTAAATGGTGTACTTTTCCTCCACTACATGTATTTAATCCCTTTAGTTACTTCACAGATGTGGATGAATGATGTGAAATCTAATCAAGTGTTGAATCAGACTTTATTTCCACCTGGAGTAAATCCACCAGCTACCCTGCAGTATACAAAGCCATTCAAACTAGCTGCACCTTCACCAGCTTTGAGAACACTTTCATGATCAATCATTATAAAACATATCATATATATTATTCTGAAATGGACCAATCTGCACAACGACTACTTTTACTGTCGCTACTTTCACTATATTTTGATGATAATACTTTTCTACTTTCACTTGAGGAACATTTTGAATGCAGGACTTTTACTGTAACAGAGTATTCCTACACTCTGGTACTTCTACTTTTCCTCAAGTACAAGATCTGAGTACTTCTACTTTTACTCAAGTACAATACTTGAGTACTTCTACTTTTACTCCAGTACAATACCTGAGTACTTCTACTTTTACTCCAGTACAATACCTGAGTACTTCTACTTTTACTCCAGTACAACATCTGAGTACTTCTACTTTTACTCAAGTACAAGATCTGAGTACTTCTACTTTTACTCAAGTACAATATCTGAGTACTTCTACTTTTACTCAAGTACAAGATCTGAGTACTTCTACTTTTACTCAAGTACAAGATCTGAGTACTTCTACTTTTACTCCAGTACAACATCTGAGTACTTCTACTTTTACTCAAGTACAAGATCTGAGTACTTCTGCTTTTACTCAAGTACAATATCTGAGTACTTCTACTTTTACTCAAGTACAATATCTGAGTACTTCTACTTTTACTCAACTACAAGATCTGAGTACTTCTACTTTTACTCAAGTACAATATCTGAGTACTTCTACTTTTACTCAAGTACAAGATCTGAGTACTTCTACTTTTACTCAAGTACAATATCTGAGTACTTCTACTTTTACTCAAGTACAATATCTGAGTACTTCTACTTTTACTCAACTACAAGATCTGAGTACTTCTACTTTTACTCAAGTACAATATCTGAGTACTTCTACTTTTACTCAAGTACAATATCTGAGTACTTCTACTTTTACTCAAGTACAATATCTGAGTACTTCTACTTTTACTCAAGTACAATATCTGAGTACTTCTACTTTTACTCAAGTACAAGATCTGAGTACTTCTACTTTTACTCAAGTACAAGATCTGAGTACTTCTACTTTTACTCAAGTACAAGATCTGAGTACTTCTACTTTTACTCAAGAACAAGATCTGAGTAGTTTACCACCTCTATAGCCCTACAGGTGAAGTCAATAGATTGCGGTCCAAGTATCCTCTAAAGATGGACGCCCTGATGTTGATAAAACACATTTCCATTCCCTTTTCATGATACACTTGTTTCCATGGTTTTGTGAGTTTAAGGGTTCCTTTAAGTACAGATCCTTCTCTGTTTCTGGAGATACTATTAGAAAGAGCAATATCATTATGCATGGCCTCAGTTGGAGCCAGGGCTGTTGGACCTGATGTTGGATCCTCTCTAAATTACTGAGAACCTGGCAACACTAAATAACTCCAACACAAACACAGCCTTGTGCCAAGTTGTGTAATGAGGTGGAAACACAAAGGAGGTAATGTTGAGAGCCTGATACCATGAAGCCTGTAAATACGTATCAATGAGAATCAGAGGTTTAAGCCACCCAGAATCCCTCGGTTTCCTTTGCATACTGGAATAATCTGCAGCTCATGACTCGTGACTCATGCCCCGGTTTATTTGCCATAACAATATGTTCCTAACCTCTTAAGCCCCACAGACCCGCCGAAGGGGCTGAAACCACAACATCTGCAAGCAACAGCGTCTGAGGGCTTCTTAAGATTTAATAAACTATGAATGTTTCATATCCATGTAACGGGAAGAAACTCAGCTAACTGATGATTATTTATTTTTTTGCAAAAAAAAAACACAACGCTGAGCCTCTGAATTAGCCCTGGGCGAAAAAATCTTAACGCTGTTAGCACAGAAACTCTAGCTATACCGATCGATATACTTATTGGATCTGCACAAACAAGCTTAGATAATATCCTGAGAGTCCACAGATTAGAGAAATATAAGGATCATCACTGAGCGATCAGAACTCGTGACAGGGGAAGCAAATACAGACAACACACGAGTAGCTTAGCAAAACACGGAGATATGCTCACCTTAGCTGTTATTCTGATCGAAAGTCATGTTCAATGGCATTAAAACGAGAAAAAACGCGGCTGAAGGTTAATCCATAGGTTAATTACATGACATTACATTTAGCTTACGCTTTTATCCAAAGCGACTTACAATAAGTGCGTTCGACCAACAAAATACAAACTTGAAGAAAACAGAATCATGTAAGTACATCAGGTTTCATAGAGCAAAAACATTTCAAGTGCTACTCAACTGGCTTTAGGTAAGCCAGTCCTTTATTAGTATATAAGTGCTTTGTTAATTCAATTCAATTCAATTCAAAACCTTTATTTATACAGATAAAACCCATTGAGATCATAAACCTCTTTTACAATGGTGACCTGCTTCAATTAGTTCCAAACATTAATACA